TATATATATATATTCTTCCATGTTTTTGCTTCTGTGATACCCTACACTTTTTTTGTGATTTGGTTCCGGTTTTCCACAAGAAAAGCTCTGATGAAACATTCCACTATTCTCAAATGCCTTAATTTTTATTTTTCTACACAAAATAAGATGGGGGGGGGGGAATTATAAATCAAAGAATGTAATTTCCACTGCTACTAGATCGATTCAGGGTCCTGCGCCTGCATATGACGGAGAGTGGTTAAAGGTCAGAAACCATGGAAACACAAGTTTGTCGTGGCTGTTTAATATTAAATGAAATAAATTAATTAAGAAAGTTAGAAAAGTTTGGCTAGTGGCTGGCATGGAGTTAACGCTAACACGGACACATACACATAAAACTTTGCTTGTGTGTAGGTAATAGTGCTAGCACCGTGTTAGCGTCTTAGCACTCATTTTTCCCGTTCTTATGCGTGTGCAACGTCAGGTCTCGTGCTTCGGCAAAACTGCAACTCTGACACCAATGTGGCGTGTTGTTTATCTGTTTGAATGTGTCTTCAGCAGCAGCGACGAGTTGTTTACATCCGTGGTTTACACGTGTTATCAAGCTGGTGCGGGACACCGTGGGCATGGTCGTGTTGCCGCTACAGTGTGGGTGCTCCGAAGCTGTTGGCCTTCGAATGAGACAGACCTAACTATTTAGCACGGACGTAGTGCTAATGCATACAGCATCCATATCAAACTCGTGAGGGCTGACATTAAACTTTCATATCAAGGTGGGGGCCTCAAAATAGCGTCCTGTGGCCTGCATTTGGCCCACAGACCACGGGTTTGAGACCAGTGGTCTAAACAGTACTGACTGGGCCCTGATCCATGGCACTTTGACATCTGCTGGCTTTTGCAGCTCATTACAATCCTTTACAAACTTGATACTTGGTGAAGAATTGCATTCGGCCCTTGTATGTCCAATGCATTAAAATGCAATACTTGAATTAATTTGTGAGTGGCACTCAACGTTTTGAATATATTGAAAAAAACAACAACAACAACAACAACAAAACAAAGAGTTAACCATGAGATTGGGAATGAATGAGTTCAGAAAAATATTTGCGGGGGTTAAATATTACCACTGAAAACTCATGCACAATAGACCTCAATGAAATTTTTTAACAACTTTTGAAATGAGTTTGATGTACCACCAAAAGCATATTTCTAGCCATGATGTCCGCCAGCTAGAGGCATATGTGCACTGTATTTTTTTCCAGCGTAAACCCTCACTCAAACCCCAGAGCACAAGGAAGTAACACTTTGTCCCCATCCTAAAATATTCTGTGTGGGAACTTGGTACAACCAGCCTCTATAGTGTACCAAAGAATGTCAAAATACAAATACTTTAAATGCAACGTTTTTGTCAGAATTATTCTAGAAAACTAGAAACTGCAATTTCTGGAGAAATTGCATGTGCAGCGGTATATATTCAAAAGATAAAATGCATCATAATACTCACTAGAGATGCTGATTATGCAATGTATTCAAGTGTGTAGACTGCCACGAATGTTTTGTCAGTTAAATTTCGTTTGCTCTGACCAACCAATCAGAATGCTGAAATTCTTTTGGCCAGTTAGCTGGAAACTGAGATCTGATTGGTTAAAAAAAATTCCCATTGCTCATATCATTGAAATTACATTGGCCAGCCCTCGGCACTAGGAAATTTAGATTGAAATGGCATCACAGTGGGGCATACACATACACATACTGGAGGCAGTGCAGCCAAGAGAAACATTAAAAGTGAAGAGACTGTTGGGAATAAATTCATACAATTTCATAGAACAAATAATACATTTTAGGTTGTAAATGTAGGTGAGGGCTTCTGATAGTGTTGATGTCAGCAGAGAATGCCTTGCGGGCCCTGACGTCCCACCACTGTAAAATACTGTAAATAAAATCCACCCACCTGCACCGAGTTGTCAGTCTTCAACTATCAATGAAACACATGAAGGTTTACAAGTGGATGAGGCTTAGACATTCCATAAACACAATGGTGCTTGTAAAAGCAGAAAATGACTTTAAAAAACACCTAAGATGCTAGAATGCGTCATGTGACCACAGTTTTTTGGCGGGGTCAAAGTGAAGTAACCCGATAACATCAAGAAAAATCGATACCCAATCAGTCATTGATCAGTACACCTGATGTCAACATTCACTGGATCAATTTATTGATAAGGTGATTGTCAAGCAGTTGATTAAAAGTTATTCTCACTTTGACATCTTATTGCTAGAATAAAAAGGTCATCATCTTAATGTTATTAGATTTGCCTGAGTCAATGACGTCATCCAACAGTGACATCCGGACTATAGGTAAAAGAAAACCTCTTCAACTTAATTATTGCTTCTTTTCTTCTCAACGTTTGGTTTGTGGGAAACCGCGAAAACTGAGGTTCTTCCTGAAGGATGTCATTGATTACTAGAACAGCAGACATTCTGATTCTCTGCGTGACCACGCATTGGATCACCCAGTGAACCATCGACTGGCATGCTCATCAGACCAGAGTTTCTGGTGATGTTTGCTCCAAAGACACTTCCTTGGAGGGATCTACATGTTTCCGTGAAGGGGCAGGGTCAAGATAGAGTGAGCTATTCACAGACCTGCGTGTGAGAGAGATAGGGAAAGAGATAGAGAGAGAGAGAGAGAGAGAGATAGAGAGAGAGAGAGAGAGAGAGAGAGAGA